GTGGCAGCAATATTCTTAGCATGCACGAATGGTTGGCTTATAGATATGTAAGATCGATTCTGGAAAGAAAATCGTCTTGCACAACACAGTGAACCCACTTTCTTAGCAGCTAACCTAGCAATGGATTCAATATAGTCTTTCTACTTCATGTCAGCTCTCAGCTGGCATGATGTGGAAATTGACTCTTGGGACCGAGAACTCAATTGATACATTGGGGAGTCAATTTCCTGGAGGTTAGCATCAGCTTTTCTCTCAGGAGGCATAGAGTGGTCTGTCAGATGATTAATGGAGAGAAGTTTATTTTTGGAGGCGTTAAAATTAACAAATCATCTTTTGGCCTAGTTAACAACGGAGGTGAGGTCGTTTTGGAGATCGGCTGCCAGTTTGATATTCTCAGTCTAACTATCGTGCCAGGAGTATGTACGTGTGTTTGTGTGTGCGTGTTTGTGGATATAAAGGGAGTAAAAAAAAAAGATGGAAAGGTAAAATTAAGCGAAAAAATAAGTAACGGTGAAGGCAAGAAATCAAATTAAAGAAAATGACTATGAGTGTGAAAATAAAAGAAAACGCCTTGGTAGTCGGTGTGGCGGGGGATTCGTAAGACTAAACTAAGAGCAAAAAAAGAATCCCAACATCTCGAAAATAAGATCCTGAATAAAAGAACAATATTGTTTAATAAAAACAGGTGAATACATTTATTGAAACAAAACGTTCAGTTGATTACTGATGACAATTCCAGAACAACGTAACTATAAACAATTTTTTCTATCCTCTACCAGTCGCGATGATGGAGAAAGCATTACCTCGAACCATCGCCAGTGAGACACGCTGCAAGAGCCACTCCGTTTCACGAGGCTCGTCCCTTAATCCTCCGAAGGAACGCCATTGAACGAGGGCCAATAACCCCTGAAGTCTCCACTGCCACAGGAGTAAAAAAAACAACAAATCTATCAGCAAGAGAAGAATATTTAACTATTTTTTTCATCTCTGCGTCCCGGGAGACGGATCCTGGCTCAACCGCAGACCTGATCAAATTACTGGCCGAAAATGTATCCGCACAGGTCGCATCCCAAATCAACGACTTTAATAAAATCGTAATGATTACAACCGAATTTTGTGTTCCGTTCTTTTCATCATGAGATCTGTCCTACGGGTTCGATTGAATATTAACCCAACTCTTCAGAGGAGGGGTTTGTCGAATGACGTCATTGTCTGCTTACCGGATATGACGTCAATGCCTTTAAAAAATTTTCTTCTCTTTTTAGTGACATAGTTTAAGGGTAGAAGACTAAGAAGATGAAGTATGAAAAGTGACTCAGACATAACATCCACCTGCGTTGCTTGAACGCAGGCAGTTCAACTGAATATTTGGCTGAAACAGTCGCGAGAAGCTTGCGTGATCATACAAGAAGACTTTGTTCAACACGTTTTAAAATTTGTTCAAAATAAAAGCAGAGTTTAAATTCATATTTCAAATCAAAATATATCCTTTGTCGTCACATGTAAAATACACGATATAAAGAGTCTATATATTACTACATTCGTTTTGTATACTTCTATATTTTCTGTCCTAAACTTCAGTCAATAAAAAGACGGAGAGACTCTCAAGTTTACTGTTAAAATGTGTATTATTTACACTATATACAATGTTCGGAGTGTTGTCCTCATCTTTGTTGTCATATTCACGACGTTTAGGCCGTTGCACGCTTCAGCCTTCTTCAGGTGATTGGAATTTCGAAGCGAACCCTTTATTTAGTCCAGCGGGATAGATTCTTCTAGTTCCATGTGCCGTGCCTCTTCCGGATGTCTCAGTAAGATTTATTTCCCTTTAACTCAACTCTCCAAATTTTTGTTCACCTCTGTTGTGGCTAGGTGTTAAAGTCACAACTTTTTGGGTCAACTGGATTATTCAACCAACGCTTTTGTCCACTTATTCATATGTCCTTGAGGACCAACAAAGATGAAGACAACCGTCCGAAAATTGTAAATAGTGTAAATAATTACAACACCTCATGTGATAAATATAGGCTGATATTAAAATGGTTATGTTGAATAAGGTGCCATATGAATCTAGAAGAGTCAGTAAGAACTGAAGATTATGAGGATAAGGAGGATATACACCGAATGACCCTTAACGATTGTAGGGGGTCAGAGACGCACGCGCGCGGGAGTCTCTTACATAAACTGGTAGTTCTTAGAGAAATGAGTTGAACTGCCTTTGTAAATATAAGAATAAATATGTTAATTAAAGACTCTCCTTTTTTTAAAAAAATACAACATCGCTTTTTGGAGCAATAAAGAACCACTTCCATTTACTCCGACACCAACGTCTACAAACATGTAAGCAACTGAAGAAGCATACAAAAACACGAGTTTCGACTACCTTCCGTTTATTCTCCTTTTCGTTTCAAAAATATAAACAGAAGTGAAATAAAGTACTCAGTGTCTCTTCGGCGTGTCCGTTTTCTAATTTCTGTTCCAGAAACTAAGGTAACTAAGGATAAGCATTGTTATAAAGGTCGAGTTCAAGTCAGCCTTGCGCATAGTTGAAACGACCAAATAATTTTTTTTTATTTACTTCATCATTGGAGCGTTTAAGCATGGATATCCCTATCTGTTTCTAACCATAAGTTTGCTGTTTGTTAAAATTATTCTCAAAACTTCCACGTTACTCACATGTTCAGTCTATGTTATACTCAGTATCCTTCTGTTGAGCTACATCTTCGTCATCTGTGAGGACAATGTCCAGCATTCACTGACATATGAACCGAATGATGTGACATAGCTTTTCAGCACTATTTTCAGAATCATTCAGCTGTCTGGCATAACAGGATTGATAAGTTGCAAAAAAATCAATCAGACATCAAAACACTACCCAGATATTTAAAATTTCATACTTTCTTGATTTTGATATCTCCAATTCCTAACTCAAATCTTGGGCTCTTCCTTGCTTTAAAACCCTTTTTCTATCTATTTACAGATTGGTTAGTGCTTTCCTCTCAATTTAACAGGACAGATTTTCCAGGAGTTCACACGTCTTCCTTTCTTTTTTCTTTCAATTTATGTCAAATTAATATTGTTCTGTTTAATGAATTTGAAAGATTTTGGCTCTCCCAGGATAGTTACAAGGTCAAAAGTTTTCCGTAGTCTGTTAAAGACATAACATAATTTTACGTTCCTTTCTATTGACATACTTCCTCAGTTCATTTACAGGTTACGGCGAAATCACGTTGAAACCCTGTAAGCTTGGATATGAACGGGGAGTAAAGGATAACGATCTGGAGTTGGTAAATCAGAAAGCTGAGTTCCAATTCCAATCGGTTATTTTGTTATATTCATTTCCTGCTTTGTATTCATTTAGAAAGGAATGAACCCAAATTATTCTCCTTCATCTCTAGGGTTTCGAGTAAGACTTGTATTATTAAAACCATTATTAGGTTAAAAAATGAATTGATAAAAATAAAAAAAATGATATAAAATTGCGTACAAAATATTTAAATTTTGGCATTAAATTACCCAGAGAGGCTAAGATTTCGGTAAACAAAAATAACAATTCAATCAATTCATTTTCTATCCGCATGCAAGTGGTTTGCTTCCAGTAAATGTTTTGGCTTATTCTAATAAAGAGTAATCTTTCTTGTGTTTTTACATAGCCATCATATTTTTTTTGGTAAGCACCTGTGTATTCTTGAGAGAAGTTTGTCAAATTGCGATAAATATTTATTGATGAAAACACTCCGTTTGTTTACATCAAAAGTTGAGGTTTCAAGCAATTGCTGATTTAAAAAGAAATCCATCGCTGAGAGGCAGAAAAAGAGAGAGAGAGAGAAAGAAAAAGCTCCGTTTATATTTATCACTGGAAGCAATATTTAAAGAAAAGGAAAGAAAATACGACAAAAAAAAAAAGAAAAAAAAAAGAAATGACAATTTGTCCTCTTCGCGCTTTCATAAGAGTAGGAGAAATTTTTTAGCACTTGTGATAAGGAAGCAGTTGAAAAGAAAGAATATCTTGGCTAAAAGAATAGAAGTTAGGACGGGAAGTCTAAAACTGAAGTAGAATTTCGAAATACGCAAAGTGGGGTATAAAAGTATTTCTTGAAGAGGTACTTAGGGGTTCAGAATTTGAATTATTTGCACATCACATGAAATCAGGTTAAATGCAATTAAATAGTTAAATAATAAGATAAAATGATAAAAATTAGCCGCGGGAAATTAACGTAGAGAAATCGTTTGCATCAAGAAAAACAAACTCAAACAAATAAAAAGGCAATATTTAAAAGAAAAGACTAAGTATTCCCCCATAGTAAGAGTTACTTCAAAATCATTTGCCATGTTACACAGTGTTTGCTGTGTCTCTTATTTGATTGCTTTTTACGGTTTCTACTATTTAATCCATAGCTGGGGGAGAATAGATGCACTCATACCTTTCACACTTGATAGATTTGACATTTTTACGGCTGAAAAAACTTATGCAGGTTATTCTAAGTCTGAAAATATTTTTACATTGTAATAAAATTTTGGAGCAAATAATAATTTACTGATAGAAATTTTACTGTTTACTCCATAGCTGGGAGAGAAGAGATAAATGCATACTTTTCCCACTTGATGGATTTAACTTTTTTTACGGCTCATAAACCTTATAGAGGTTATTCTAAGTCTGAAAACATTCATGAATTGTAATAAATGTTTGGAGTAAATAATAATTTACTGATAAAAATTCTACTATTTACTCCATAGCTGGGGCAAAAAGATGTATTCATACTTTTCCCAATTGATAGATTTGACATTTTTACGGCTTAAAAAACTTATGTAGGTTATTCTAAGTATGAAAATATTTTTATCTTGTAATAAATTTTTGGAGTAAATAATAATTTACTGATAGAAATTCTACTATTTACTCCATAGCTTGGGGGAAGAGATAGATCCTTACCTTTTCCAATGGTATTTGCGTATAGAGATTCGAAAACCCAAGCTGTTATCCATTATAACATCCGTATATCTACAACATCTGGTGTTCCCAAGCAGTCACTCATCTAGGTACTGGCCATTTCTGATATTGCTTAACTTCAGTGATCCTACGAGAACTGGTGTTTCAATGTAATATGGCCGTAAGACTTCCTGTGTCTCATCGGTGATTATAATAATTACGCAAGAGAAAATCCACCCACATTCCCTCCGTATTTCACCGGTGAGGAGTTCCACTCAAACAGTTTCGCCCCGCGAACTACTGCCCTGAAGAACCGACTCCCAACAGGATGTTTTCCCCGATCACTAAAATCTTAATCTGTTCAAGGTTCGGATTAACCATTACTTGCACTCCTATATGCACAAATGGCCTCCTAACGTAACCATCTCCCACGAGGGGCTCCTAGGCCTTGTAAAGCTTGAACCTCACTATATATATATATATATATATACAGGGTGTTTCAAAAAATTTGATATCATTTCGCAACCTAATAACTTTGTTAGATCTCCTTCAAATGACTTCAAATTTTAATAGCATCTTTATGTTTAATGTTTGTTTTATGTTTTTATGTCTTTATGGATCGGGCGTGCTGGTGTTAAAGACAGTGTGTTGCTGAAATGGCCGCCCCGTGCACCTGATTTAACACCTTGTGAGTTTTTCCTCTGGGGCTACGTGAATGGAATGGTGTATGTTCCCCCTCTTCCTGCAAACATAGAAGAACTCAAGCAGAGAATCAATACAGCACTGGAGACTGTTACACAAGATATGCTTCAGCGTGTTTGGCAGGAGCTGGATTACCGACTTGACGTATGCCGTGTCTCAGGCGGTTCGCATATTGAACATTTGTGAAATCGTTCACATAATCCACATGCTTTTGAATTTCTCATTCAGATTTGGAAGAATAAATCTTATGATCTTCAACATTAATACTTTTTAATTTCATTTGCCTTAATCATGTACTTTCTGTGATATTTACATCTCAAAGGATATCAAATTTTTTGAAACACCCTGTATATATATATATATATATATATATATATATATATATAAGAAAAACAGACCGCTTTAAGGTACCATTATAATAATTTATTTCACGAGAGCCCTTTTAAAGGACGCCGGATCATCAGATAGCATTTCCAAAATTGAAACGAAAAATGAAATGAACATTGATCAATTTTCATTTCATTTTTCATCCTCCTTGGGATTACCCATACGGATTACCAAGTTTTTCATAACTCAAATATATATATATATATATATATATATATATATATATATATATATATATAATTATTTATTTAAAAATATGATTCCAACGTTATATATATATATATATATATATATATATTCAACCTCTCTCTACTACTACTTCCACGGACAGTGCTCGGGCAAGCTACATTCTCTGATTCCGCCGAAGAAAACCTGCATGGCATGGACAACCCATTCCGCTCACATAGTAACCAACTACTGACATTCCCTCTGTGTTCTATCGGTGAGAAGTAAGTTCCACTCGAGCAGCTTCTTCCCGCGAACTACTGCCCTGTGGAATCGACTCCCAATAGGATGTTTCCCCGATCACTACAATCTAAACCTTTTCAAGGCACGGATTAACCGTTATCTTTCACTCCTATACACACAAATGTCCTTCTAACGTAAGCAGCTCCCTCGAGGGGCTCCCAGGCCTTGTAAAAGGTGAACTTTACTGTAAAAAAAATAAATAAAAGAAAATAAAAAATATCTCTTATAAAAACAACAAAAAAAACGGAGAAATAAATATCCGCTTTTTCTGTAGTTTATTTTTTTAATAAAGTAAATCATTTTGGATTTGAAGTTAGCAAATAATTAGATTAGAATCCCATAAGATTAACTGTAATCTAGATAACCATAAATTAGGTTAGAATCTCATAAGATTACCCGTAATCTAGATAACCATAAATTAGATTAGAATCTCATAGGATTAACCGTAATCTAGATAACCATAAATTAGATTAGAATCTCATAGGATTAACCGTAATCTAGATAACCATAAATTAGATTAGAATCTCATAGGGTTAACCGTAATCTTGATAACCATAAATTAGATTAGAATCTCATAGGATTAACCGTAATCTAGATAACCATAAATTAGATTAGAATCTCATAGGATTAACCGTAATCTAGATAACCATAAATTAGATTAGAATCTCATAGGATTAACCGTAATCTAGATAACCATAAATTAGATTAGAATCTCATAGGATTAACCGTAATCTAGATAACCATAAATTAGATTAGAATCTCATAGGATTAACCGTAATCTAGATAACCATAAATTAGATTAGAATCTCATAGGATTAACCGTAATCTAGATAACCATAAATTAGATTAGAATCTCATAGGATTAACCGTAATCTAGATAACCATAAATTAGATTAGAATCTCATAGGATTAACCGTAATCTAGATAACCATAAATTAGATTAGAATCTCATAGGATTAACCGTAAACTTTGAGAAGGCAGAAGGTGTGATTGTTAGCAAAAGGAACATGCTAAGTTGCCAACTACGAATTGCAGAGACCAAAATCAAGGAAACATGAGCATTTAAATATCTTGGTAGTGTTTTAATAGAAATTTAAATATGTGCCACCGAAATCTGAAGTCGCATTA